ATCCTTCACTTTGGAAAGAAACTAAACTTTTGGTCTTATATTAGCAAGTAATTTGTGAGTTTGGCACCACACAGATATCCTGTTCTTTAGTATCTTTTACCTAATAGTTTTAGCTTCCATTGATGATTCTTGCCTAAATCAGTTACTTTCCTAGAGGTTGCATGTGCCCAAGCACACAACAACACACACAAACACCAGTGAACAAGAAAAACTAATTTTTTTTGGTTACACACAAGATATCATATTGTATACATTTTTCTGCAACCTTGCATTTCACTTAATATTTTAAGGAGATTACCTAAATTGAGGGATTCCCTCTTATCTCTAAGGGTTCCTCCCCTCTTACATAGGGAGAGAGTATAAACCCAACTTTTTTTTCAAACTATATTTGAGAGTCTCTAGTAAGATCTGAATTTAATAGCGAGCCAACATTTAAAATGCAAGGATAAAAATTTAAACAATTTTTGCCGGGCGCGGTGGCTCAAGCCTGTAATCCCAGCACTTTGGGAGGCCGAGGCGGGTGGATCGCGAGGTCAAGAGATCGAGACCATCCTGGTCAACATGGTGAAACCCCGTCTCTACTGAAAATACAAAACATTAGCTGGGCATGGTGGCGTGTACCTGTAATCCCAGCTACTCAGGAGGCTGAGGCAGGAGAATTGCCTGAACCCAGGAGGCGGAGGTTGCGGTGAGCCGAGATCGCGCCATTGCACTCCAGCCTGGGTAACAAGAGTGAAACTCCGTCTCAAAAAAAAAAAAAAAAATTTAAACAATTTTTGAATTTGGAATTGTATTTATTTATTTGTTTATTTATTTTTGAGACGGAGTTTCACTCATGTTACCCAGGCTGGAGTGCAATGGCACGATCTCGGCTCACCGCAACCTCCGCCTCCTGGGTTCAGGCAATTCTCCTGCCTCAGCCTCCTGAGTAGCTGGGATTACAGGCACACGCCACCATGCCCAGCTAATTTTTCGTATTTTCAGTAGAGACGGGGTTTCACCATGTTGACCAGGATGGTCTCGATCTCTTGACCTCGTGATCCACCCGCCTCATCCTCCCAAAGTGCTGGGATTACAGGCTTGAGCCACTGCGCCCAGCCTGGAATTGTATTTATAAAGCAGCTCATCATGATTTTAGCCCGAAGTTTTCGTATAAATAGTAGTAATATAAAATGTATGAAGGAGTTGGGTTTTTTTAGTTTTAGAATGTAAAAGTAATAACATTTATAGGCATTTACACACATAGATTCCTATTCTTACTCTCCTTGTTAGCTGTCACTCAGAGACATGGTAACCTGTAGAATCCTTCAAGAACCAGATTTTGTTTCTCCCCACTTGTAATGTTTTATAAAGGCCTATTATCATTTCCACTTGATTATAATGTACAAAAATATTTTCATAAAACTTATTCTATTTTGGCTGGGCGCGGTGGCTCACGCCTGTAATCCTAGCACTTTGGGAGGCCAAGGCAGGAGGATCACAAGGTAAGGAGATTGGAGACCATCCTGGCCAACATGGTGAAACCCTGTCTCTATTAAAAAATACAAAAAAATGAGCTGGGCCTGGTGGCGCATGTGGTAGTCCCAGCTACTTGGGAGGCTGAGGCAGGAGAATTGCTTGAACCCTAGAGGCAGAGAGGCGGAGATTGCAGTGAGCCGAGATTGCGCCACTGCACTACAACCTGGGTGACAGTGCAAGACTCTGTCTCCAAGACAAAAAAAAAAAACTTATGTTTCTATCCTGTGTTAGTTTTTTACTTGAAATTTTACTTCAATTATTACTTGAAATTTTTTTCATCAAAAAATTATTTACATTCTTTCATATAGCTTTATGACCATAGAGATAACAAAATAAGTAATGACTACTTGGCATAATGGAATGGAAATAATAATAAACATTTACTGAGTGAATGTTTTATCCTTGGTACCGTGCTTAAAAATTAAATCCTTCACATATACTAACTCCTTTAATTACCTTATAATTTTAGTAGGTAGATGACATTATTCCTTTTCCTTTTTCTTTCTTTTTATTGGAGACAGGGTCTCACTCTGTCACCCAGTCTGGAGTGCAGTGGAGGAAGCATAGCTCACTGCAGCCTCAGCCTCCCAGGCTCAAGCAATCCTCCCACCTCAGCCTTTCGAGTAGTTGGGACTACAATCGTGAGCCACGATGCCCAGCTAATTTTAAAATTTTTTTGTAGAGACGAGGTCTTCCTACATTGCCCAGGTTGGTCTTGAACCGTGTGATCCTCTAGCCTTGGCCTCTCAAAGCACTGGGATTACTAGCATGAACCACTGTGCCTGGCCTAACATTATTCTTATAAATGAGGAATTTAAAAATTCATATAGGAGAAGCATCTTGCCTAAGATATAAAAAATGTTTGTTTTTATTTATGAGATGGAGTCTTGCACTGTTGCCTGGGCTGGAGTGCAGTGGCATGATCTTGGCTCTCTGCAACCTCCGCCTCCTGCATTCAAGTGATTCTCCTGCCTTAGCCTCCCAAGTAGCTGGGATTACAGGCACCCACTACTATGCCAAGCTATTTTTTTGTATTTTTAGTAGAGATGGGGCTTCATTACATTGACCAGGCTGATCTCAAACTCCTGACCTTGTAATCTGCCTGCTTTGGCCTCCCAAAGTGCTGGGATTACAGGCATGAGCCACCACGCCTGGACCCAAAATGTTATTTAACTGATCTGAAACTTAAACATGTTTGTTTGACACCAACATATGTAATTCTGAACCATGCATACTATGCTGCTTATTCACAATAGAAGAGACATGGAATCAACTTCAATGCCCCATCAACAGTAGACTGGATAAGGAAAATGTGATACATACACAATGGACTGCTGTGCAGCCATAAAAATAAATGTGATCATGTCCTTTGCAGGGACCCAGTTGAAGCTAGAGGTTATTATCCTTAGCAAACTAACACAGAAATGGAAAACAAAATACCGCATGTTCTTACTTATAAATGGGAGCCATGATGAGAGCACATGGACACATAGAGTGTAACAGCAGATGCTGGGGCCTTCTAGAGAGTGGAGGGTGGGAGGAGGGAGAGGATCAGGGAAAGTAGTTAATGAGTACTAGACTTAGCACCTGGGTGACGAAATATCTGTACAATAAACCCCATGACACAGGTTTACTTGTTTACCTGTATATTACAAGTACCCTTGAACTTAAAAGTTTAAAAAGAAAAAAGTTTATTTGCCAAGATTTTAAATTTTGTAGTATTAAGATTATTACTTTGATTTTGGTTTTTGCTTTTGACTTTATGCTCTTTGGTCCTATTTACGTATTGATCTTTGTGACAGGTATTTTAACAATAGACTTAAAGAGCCTGTGGACCCTAATATGAGACCTTATAAGTACAGTAGGGGTCACCTCTGGGATGTGTGACATCAGTTGGTAACCTCAATGTGAAACTGGCGTTTAGAGTGAAACAGGGCATAGAGTGGTGATGGGAAGTTGACCAAATTGTAGCCCTTCCTTTTGATTCGGTGTATTTAAGGCTCCTCATCAGAATGGAGTCCTTCTATCTATAAGGAGGAGATCCAGACGTGGGACATGATTAATTAGAATCACAGTTTCTTTATTTTTGAAAATGTTCTCTTTCCTTCCCCATTTGAAACTAGACCATTTTATAATTAGTAATTATACGTATAATTGTACGTTAATGGTGCAAAGGATATTCAAACTGTGGACAGTGTTTTTTGGTATTTTTTATTATTTTGAAGAGGCTATCCATTCATTCATCTAGTGCAAAATTGAAAAGGTACAGAAGGGTATACACTAAGGCTCTTTCTCCCCAGAGATAGCCACTGGTATCAGTTTTCTTTGTTACCATGTATTTTCTTCCAGGTATAATTTACATACACATACATTATTTTTCACAGTCCCATTTAAAGGCAATTACTATACACACTGTACTAAGCCTTGAGGTTTTTCACTTAATGGTTTATCATGGAGATTATTTCATATCTGTATATTGTGAATTTCCTTATTTTTTTATAGCTGCACAGTACTCTGTTATAAAGGTATACCGTAATTTATTAGCCAAGCCTAAATAATTCTAACTTATTTACATTGTTTCAGTCTTAATTGTAAGAACCAGTGATACAAGGAGTAATATGCAAGTCATTTTGTACATAAAGATGTACATTTGGTATCTGTGCAGGATAAATTACTAAATAAGGGGTTGCTGTGTCAGTTTGCGGATTTATAACTTTGACAGCAGGTGCTGAATCTCCCCCCATAAAGACTCTACACTCCCACTAACAATATAAGGGAGTTTATATTAGCAAATTGCTCAATCTTAAATTGCTCTCTCTTCTTAGGGGTGAGGTTGAGCATAGTTTCATGTGCTAGGAACTCATTTGTATTTTCTTTTCCAATACACTCTTTTAAAATTCTGGGTTTGGTATAACTGCTTAAGGTCTAACATTTTTGAAGCTATTCTCTGCAGATACTTAAGGCAAGACTAGACATAATATAGAAGTTAATATTATGAGCTCTGGAGTCTTAAAGATTTATTTCTTGGCTTTGCCACTTCTAGCATAAGACCTTAGGCAACTTACAGTGTTACGTCAGATAAAGCATATGAAAGCTCAGTGCCCAGCATGTCAGAACACAAGAATGTTAGCATGCTAATAATAACTAACATCATTAGCTATGATATGTTAACTATAGTAAGTACAGTTACTATATATCGTTAACTTTGTTCCATAAATGCTTTATTTGTAGTATAATTGTAATTATGTAAAAATATTATTTTTTTATTAGCAATAAAAATGAAGTATGCTAAAATATTAATTGTAATTAATACCAGTTAGGTAACTGGTGCTAGGACAATTTTGGGTAATTTGTGTTATTTTAATTATTTTTAATATCTAATTTTTCTGTAATGGAAATGTGTTTAATAATAGAAAAATATGGTATACATTGTTGTGAAATGATTTTTGTTAAAGTACGCTTCCCCTCTTTTTTCATTACAGACAGAGAGTGCTTGGGCTGAAGAATATGCTGAAAAGAAGAAAGGGTCTCACAAGCGCTCAGCATCTTGGGGCAGTACAGATCAACTTAAGGAGGTCAGAAAAATGATTCTAAGGTAGTGGGTGTGGAAATACAATCCTTTTGTTGGCTGTTTCCTTGATGTTGGGGCAGCAAGGATTTGTCATTTTCCATTGATTTCTTTTTTCTTTTAGGGTTGCGAAATAACAGAAAAACAATTACTGTGTTGATTTCATAAAGATTAGAGTAGGGATATTTATTTATCACTTACTTGATTATGTATTTTTGTCTTTTTTAGGAATGTTCATACCTGTCAACATAATATAAACACCAGATTTAAAAATTGTAACAATACAACAAATTCACATTTCTTCTTCTTTTTTTTTTTGAGACGGAGTCTTGCTCTGTTGTCCAGGCTGGAGTTCAGTGATGTGATCTTGGCTTACTGCAGGCTCTGCCTCCCAGGCTCAAGCAATTCTCATGCCTCAGCCTCCCAAGTAGCTGGGAGTGCAGGCGTGTGCCACCATGCCCAGCTAATTTTTGTGTTTTCAGTAGAGACAAGGTTTTTCCATGTTGTCCAGGCTCATCTCTAACTCCAGACTTCAAGCGACCTGCCTGCCTTGACCTCCCAAAGTGCTGAGATTACAGACATGAGCCACTGTGCCTGGTCACATTTATTATTTTTCTATATATGGTGGTATTTCTGAAATTCAGTACTCACTATAACCAGGATGATTATGGCTCTATGCTATGATTACCATTTTCTGTGTTGCTAATTAATGACATTTTCATTTCACATATAATGTAGAAATAGAAAAATTCAGTCAAAGAATAGTATGTGATATTTATTGGAATTGCATTTGTTATTTAAAGATGATATCTGTGAATGTATTTCATGGCTTGAGTTGATTTTTAAATACTGCCTAATTTTTGGAGCTGTTGAAAGTTAGGTGTTCAGTAAAGAAATCTAAGTTGAAAGAAAAACTTACGGTAAGGGCAATGAGAATGATTGTTATTTTTTGAATTCTTCAAGAAACTGTAATGTAATTTATTCTAAGTGCTGAAAACTTTATTTGTGTAGTGCTTGGGAAGCTTGGAGGCTGAGAACAGTTTTGGAACATATATATATACGTACATGTGTACATATGTATAAAATTACGAACAAAAAAATGAGACTGTGATATGGTTCAAAAATTCAAAGGACTTACTAAGGGTGAGTTTTACTGGTTCTTACTAAGCAAGGATGTGTTTTTATTTCGTGTGGAAAACACTCTGGCGTACTTGCTGTTTTTGCCTTTTCAGATTGCAAAATTACGCCAGCAGTTGCAGAGAAGTAAACACAGCAGTCGGCATCATCGAGATAAAGAAAGACAATCTCCATTCCATGGCAACCATGCAGCTATTAACCAGTGTCAGGTAAGAGTACCAATACCACAAAATCCAGAAAAGGAATTTGTTGTTTTTCTGGTGATTTGTTATTTAATTGGTAATTGCGTAGGACAAAAATGCTCAAAAACATATTTGAAACAGTGATTTAAATACTGAATCACAGTCTTTATAAGAAAACAATATTAAGTTGACAAAATAATTTCCTTTAGTGATCTAAGTTGACATAGCCACTTATCTGTTTTGATTTACCATATTTTTGTCTTTATCAATTCAATGTATTGGAGGCAGAATGATATAGAAAATCAAGCATTGGGTATGGAACAGACCCTGGCTGAATAACTTACCCTTTCTAAGTCTTAGTTTTCTCATGTGAAGATGGGGATAATAAAACCTGTTTCATAGAAGTCTTTTGATAGAGACAAACCTTTACTTGCTTTGATTTTTTTTTTTAGTAGAGCCCATGAACTGCTCTTCAATGGCTAATCCAAGGACCACTTCTCTCTAACTGACATGAAATTGGATGAGATCTCCTGGCAAGGAGAAAGCAAATTTATTTCAGGTCCTTCAGGATCTTTAAAGTCCCAGAAGTGAAGCTTTGGGAATAAGGAAGGCTGGATTCAACTTACTATGTTAACAGTAAGGCAGAAGGGCCTGGAAGGTAGAGGGAAACTGGAAGGCTTAGTTCTGTGACTCTTGGATTGTTTTTTAATACTTGAGTTGGCAAACTATGGCCTGGAAGCCAAGAACGGCCCACCATGTGTTTCCATTTATAAGGTTTTATCAGAAAACAGCCATTCTCATTTTTTTATATATTGTCTGTGGCTCCTTTTCATGCTATAAAAATATATATTTGACTATATCTGCAGGTTTTGGATTTGTGGATTGAACCAACCATGGATCAAACATATTTGGGGAAAAATATAATGGAATATGTATAAATATATTTTAAAACATAAATAAAAATAAGAAAACAATATAGTGTAACAATATTTACATAGTATTTACATTGTTTTAGGTATTATAAGTAATCTAGAGATTATTTTAAATATACAGGAGGACATTCCTAAATCACATGCAATTACCATGCCATTTTATTTAAGGGACTTGAGCAACTGTGGGTTTTGATATTTGCAGGGGGGTCCTGGAACCAATCTTCCACAGATACTGAGAGACTACTGAAGTTGAATAGTTGAAACAGAGACTGTCTGGTTCACAAAGCCTAAAATACTGACTGACTGGCCCTTTACAGAGAAGGCATGCCAACCCCTTTTATAGTTTGGTAGTGTCTGATTGTTAAATATGTAGATTGTTTGCAATAGAAAGTATGGGTAAAGGTATACAATATTTCGAACTGATTTTGCCCCAGAATATTAATACTTGGATCAAATTTGATTTCACAGATTTATAGGTTTTTGTTTGTTTGCTTGTTTGTTTTGTTTTGTTTGTTTTGAGACTGGGTCTTGCTCTATCATCCAGGCTAGAGTGCAGTTGGGTGATCACGGCCCACTGCAGCCTCGACCTCCGGGGTTTATATGATCCTCCTACCTCAAGCCTCCTGAGTAGATGAGACTACATGTGTGCACCACCACCACCATGCGTGGCTAATATTTTTATTTTTATTTTTTATTTTTTTGTAGAGATGGGGTCTGTCTATGTTGCCCAGGCTGGTTCTCTAACTCCTGGCTTCAAGTGATTCACCCACCTCAGCCTCTCAAAGTGTTGGAATTACAGGCATGAGCCACTATGCCCAGCCAAATTCATAGTTTGATTGTAGTTTTCAGTAACTTTTTTTCTGTATATAAGATATTTTAATTAAAAATATGGTTATACACTATTATTAGTGTATACTTAAATGTATACTTAAAAACCCATACAAACTAGATTTATTTCTGGAGAAATAGAAATTTTAAATTCACAGAGTAAGAAATGAAAAATTTGTAAAGACTAATAACTTTAGAATTTGGAATATTAATTAAAAACCCAGTCTCCTGACTCTCAATAGGCCGAAGACCCAGATGATTTTACAGATGAATTTGCCAACTTTCCCTTTCTTCTCATTCATTCGTAAATAACTAGTATGTGTTTCTAAAAGATAAGGCCACTTTTTACTCCTAATCCTTATTTTTACTCCAAGTAGAATAGGGATTAGAATGGGATTTTATTGAATTAAGTGGCTACTTTTAGGACGTTAGACATTTCTGAAGTGATTATTTTTAAAAGTTGCATTAAAGCCAACAATTTAAAAGTGGTTATTCAAAGTTCCATTTTTTTCTTCCTGCAAGTTGAATTTACTTAATAAGATTATTGGAATTTACCTGAAATTTATGTTTCATTTAAAAACATTTCCTTTGCAGAGAAGGTAAGAACAAGAAAACAGAGAAACTTGAAAAATAATTCATCTAGTTTGAGTTTTGTACACTTGATACATCAAGCATCTTAACTATTTCTCTCATTTTGTTTAGTGTTATCAGTTAACCACAAGTCAGGCACATGTGCATCATGGTAGTAATGACAGTAGTACTCATGTTTAATTGCAACTCTTAGGCTGGCTGGGCACGGTGGCTCACACCTATAATCCCAGCACTTTGGGAGGCCAAGGTGGGTGGATCACTTGCGGTCAGAAGTTCAAGACCAGCCTGGCCAACATGGTGAAACCCCTCTCTCTACTAAAAATACAAAAATTAGCCAGGCTGGCAGGTGCCTGTAATCCTAGCTACTTGGGAGCCTGAACAGGAGAATGGCTGGAACCCAGGAGGCAGAGGCTGCACTGAGCTGAGATCGTGCCACTGCACACTCCAGCCTGGACAATACAGTAAGACGCCCATCTCAAAAAAAAGAAATTTAAAAATTAAAACATGAAAATAATTTATATTAAGTTATTGTTTTGGTGGGTTCTCTCTCTAGTGGAGAAAAGTGCCACATGATACATGTGTACTTTTGAGGCCATTCATCAGCCCATACAATATTTGTTAATCATCTGCCCTATGACTATGATACTCATTACGGAATGTGGTGATAAAGAAATATTGTCTGTCCTCACCAGTTCTCATATTAAAGAGATATGAGTAAACAGCTATAACGCTGTACAATGAATATGTTGATAGGGAGAATTCAGAGTGTAACAGAAGGTATTTTTTTTTTTTTTTTGAGACGGAGTTTCACTCTTGTTACCCAGGCTGGAGTGCAATGATGCGATCTCGGCTCACCGCAACCTCTGCCTCCTGGGTTCAGGCAATTCTCCTGCCTCAACCTCCTGAATAGCTGGGATTACAGACATGCGCCATCATGCCCAGCTAATGTTTTGTATTTTTAGTAGAGATGGGGTTTCACCATGTTGACCAGGATGGTCTCGATCTCTTGACCTCGTGATCTACCCGCCTCGGCCTCCCAAAGTGCTGGGATTGTAAATAATTCTAAATGTTTCCATTCTATCTTACTGGATAATTTTGATTACTTTCTTAGGCTTAATTCCTTGCTTTTATTTCCCTTTGATTTTCCTTTCACAGGCCTNTGTTGACCAGGATGGTCTCGATCTCTTGACCTCGTGATCCACCTGCCTCGGCCTCCCAAAGTGCTGGGATTACAGGCTTGAGCCACTGTGCCCGGCACAGAAGGTATGTTTATTTGGACTAGGATGGAATCATCTTGAAAGACTTCTCAGAGAAAATGGTGTCTAGCTGATCCATGAAAGATAATTATAGCAAGTCTTCTAGAGGTGGAAAAAGTCATGTATCCAGATAGGAGTAGTAGTAAGAGATTAGGCCCGAGAGGTAAATAGCAGCCAAACCTGGAAGTCTCCATGTTCACTTGTTAAGACATTTGGACTTCAACCTAGAGGCACCAGGGAGCTATTTTTTTAAATGCAAGATACATGACCATTTTATAATAGTCATTATGGGGTCAGATATAGAATGAATTTGGAAGAGACAAGATTAGAAGTAGGGAAATAATTTAAGAATAAGATTTAGTGATCCAAGTAAGAAATGATGGCCTCCAGTAGTGTAGAAACTTTTGAACTGATGAGAACAGACAAACTTGAGTGTTATTTAGAAGGTAAGAATAGTTGAATTCTATTAAAATTGCTTACTATGGCAAGCATTTGGATATATTATTGACATTTAATCCTCATCTTTAAGGTCGTTTAGGTGTTGGTTCCTTCTGGAGTTTGTTAGTCTCTTCATTTTATAGACAAGAAAATCAAGGCCCAGAGAGGTCAAGTATATTGTTTAAGGTTACACGAGATGGCTGGAATTCTAAGCTAGGCATTCTAACCTCAGAGTCTGAGGTTTTTAGACTCTGTGCTAGCTGGCAGTTGATGATATTTGAGAAAAATAGAGAGATGAAAGTTAAGGATGATGCCAATTTAAACTTTTAAAATATGATTTAAGGACAGGTGCCATGGCTTATGCCTGTAATTCCAACATTTTGGTAGGCCAAGGCGGGTGGATTGCTTGAGCCCAGGAGTTCAAGACCAGCCTGGGCAACATAGCAAAGCTCCCTCTCTACTAAAAACCCAAAAATAAGCTAGGCATGGTACCGCACACCTATAATCCAAGCTACTCCAGAGGCTGAGGCACTAAAATAGCTTGAACCTGGGAAGCGGAGGTTGCAGTGAGCTGAGATCGCACCACTACACTCCAGACTGGGAATAGAGCAAGACTTGTTCTCTAAATAAATAAATAATGAAAAAATAAAATAGGATTTTAAAAATTTACTTACCTCAACACCGTGTATAAGAGTAACTCAAAATGTGTCCAAGATCTAAATGTAAGAGCTAAACCTAAAAGCTTCTAGAAGAAAATATAGGCATAACGTTTGTGACATTGCATTAGGCAGTGGCTTTATAGAAATGACACAGAAAGCACAAGCAAGAAAAGAGGAAGTAAATTGTACTTCATCAAGATTAAAAACTTTTGTGATTCTAGGGACATCATCAAGAAGGTGAAAAGATAACCCACAGAACAGGATAACCCACAAATCATATATCTGATAAGGCATTTGTATCTAAACTACGTAAAGAGCTCTTG